AAAGAAGTGGAACATGGTAGAAGGAAGTGGTCTGAGTCCAGCCTAGGCAAAAAGTTAATGAGACTCTGCCTCAAAAAAGCAAGCTAAGTGTGGTGGTGATGCCCGTGATTCCAGCTAATGCAGAAGTAGGAGGATTACAGTCTGAGGCCAGCCTAAGCAAAAGAGACCCTACCTGAAAAACGAACTAAAGTCGGGGTATGACTCAAGTGGGAAGCCTTGAGCTAAAAAAAAAAAGTTAATGAATTCATCTTAAATATTCCCCAATGGCCTTCCTGCTAAAAGCTTGGTCTCCAAGCTGGCTTTATTGGAAAGTAATAGAAACTTGAAGAGGTGGGACTAGAGGGCGGTTTTCAGGTCATTGGGAGCACGCCCTCACAGGGGATTGAGGGCGACCAGTCTCTTCTTTCTGTTACTTCCCAGCCATGAGATGAACAGCTTTGCTCTGCCAGGTGCTCCTGCCATGATACTGCACCATGGCGCAGAGCAGCAGTGCCCATTGTACATCAACTGAGGCCTCCAAAACTGTGAGACAAAATAGCCCTTTTCTCTTTATAAGTTGATTATCACGTGTATTTGTTATGCTTGGAGAAAAATGACTGACATATCATGTGACTCAGCAAAATATAGCTCACAGGCCAAATCTAGCCAGGTGACTGTTTTTGTAAATAAAGTTGTAGGTAGAAGGAAAGAAGGAAGGAAGGGAGGGAGGGAGGGAGGGAAACATTGACTGAAACCAGAGGTCAGACTAGTCAACAGAACCTATTATATTGGTCACAAGTTTATAGAGGAAAGAACATTGTATGTAAAGGCAAGAAGTTTGATGTGTGTAGAGTATAAGAGAAGCAAGATGGGCTGGGAATGTGGCTTAGTGGTAGAGCACTTGCCTAGCATGCATGAAGCCCTGGGTTCGATTCCTCATTACCACATAAAAAGAAAAAATCAGAAGTGGTGCTATGGCTCAAGTAGTAGAGTGCTAGCCTTAAGCAAAAGAAGCTCAAAGACAGTGCCCAGGCCCTGAGCTCAAGCCCCAGGACTGGCGAGAGAGGGAGCGTGGGGAAGCATGAGATAGATCAGTGAGATTTTAATTAATGAAATACTCATGATCAGATTTGGACTTGAGAACAATCACTTTGGCTCGAGTGGAAATTATTTGAAGAAATATTAAACTACAAGACCAAACAGGAGTTGAAGTGTGCCTGAATTGATGAATGGCAGTGGAGAAAAGGATAATTTGGAAAAGGATATAATGTTATCAGGACTTACTGATGGCTATGTAAGGGAGGTAGCATGGACAGATTGAAAATTGTCAATCAGTTGTGACACTTCTGCTTCTTTCAAATATAATTTTGACATGGTATACCCTACTATTTCTGATAGGAAGAGTTTATTGATTTTATTCATATTATAAATTTGATCATTTAGGCCATACAGATTCTAAGTCTGTAGAAATTAGTTGTTTTATAATCCCAGTTTATGTAGCTTGTACCAACTTTTGAATGTTCTTGAGCTGAGGTGTGTTTCCATTAAAAGCATACAAAGATATGTGATATAGAGAATAATTGAGGTAGTCAGATTTCACATATAGCTCAGGACTACAAGAGCAAGTGTGCCAGAAAACAAGATAGAATCCTTGTGATCTGTGGAAACCCAGCCTGACACACACAGCAACCCTTCTGTTCTGTTTTTCTGATGGACACAGTCACAAGCTCACACAGCTGGAAGGGAGAGAATGCAGGTTCCACTGTCAGTGGCAGAGTGGCCAAGAATTTACAGCTATGTTATAAAGCCGCCATAATCAGTTTGGGCTAAGGACAATGCTCTTTGTATTTATCCTGTCTGGGGCTGTATTGTATCTTGAATATGAGGCTTGATGTCATTGACATGAATTCTGGCTAATTTTTACACATCTGTACAGTGCTGCATAGTCCTGATGTTAAGATCATTAAACTATGATTTTTCAAAGTCTGGTCCTAGAACCATGATGTGAGGCTGAAATCAGATCATATGGCATACTTGGAGCAGAGTTCACATTTAACCATTCTATAAACATGCTTCCCACTCCTCCTTGCAAAGGATTCTTCTGACTTCTGTAATAAAGAAGTCAGCTGCCTTTCCTTATATAGCAACAACTCTTTGTTGCTTTTGCCCACTAAAGATTTACCTTGCTTCCAGTTGTTGGGATGTTAGATGATCATACTCTCAGTTTCTCAACCCTGTTCTCACAGGTGAAAATAGTCACTCTTGTGTTTGCTAAGAAAGTGCTCACCTCCTTGAATTGTGCCTCCTGCCCTTTTTGTAGCTTGAGTTATTTTTCATACAGGGTCTCATTCTTTTTGCCCAGACTGGTCTTGAACTGTGATCCTCCCAACCTCTACCTCCTAAGTAGCTAGGTTTATAGGCATGTACCACCACTTCTAGCCACTTATCTTTAAAATTCATCTACAAGCCAGACATCAAAGGCTCACACCTATAATCCTGGCTTCTCAGGAGGCTGAGAACTGAGGATCACAGTTTAAAGTCAGACTGGGCAGAAAAGTCCATGAAACTCTTATGCCAATTAACCACCAAAACTCTGGAGAAGAGAAGCAGAAATGTGGTTCCAGTAAAAAAGCTAAGGAAATAGCATCCAGCTTCTGAATTCAAGCTCTCCTACTGGCACATACATATATACATACATGCCACATGTGCGTACGTGTGCACGCACGCACGCACGCACGCACACACACACACACACACACACGCACAATTCACTTACAAGTCAAAGCATTAAAAAGAACCCCTAAGCCGGGCGCTGGTGGCTCACGCCTGTAATCCTAGCTACTCAGGAGGCTGAGATCTGAGGATCGCGGTTCAAAGCCAGCCCCGGCAGGAAAGACC